CTGGGACAACGTATCATTAATATCCCAAGCCAAACATAAACATGCACGGGAATTCCTAGAGGCATGGTTCTCAACCCGTAAAGCAATCAACAAACATATCGAATTGGACTCCATATATAAACCCATACAGAACAAAACCAGAAATGACACTACTCACCATAATGGAACAGACAGTATAAATTCCAAGTGGAATAGAACAAGATCGCTTCATCGAGGGCTCGCTGATGATGTTACCTAGCATGGTGGCAAAACGTCTGAACGAAAACAAGCCAGCTTGGTGAGCAAGTCAACAACCTCAGGCTACAGAAAGCCTTATTAAACAGCCGGGCCACCAAGATGACCTCACACTATAAACAGACAGCAAAAAGCAGCTACTCAAGGGCATATACATTTCAATTCATTCACCTTACCATGACGTTTGTCCCCGTAAAACATGGTAAAATTACTCTACTAACAACAAGATCCAAACACATTTAACCTCTTAGGATTAAATTCCATCAACTTCTCCGCAAAGGTAATCATGATTTCCATGGGATCAAAGCAACACCCTAGCCAAAACTTTTACCATTAGAAATGTATCCACCATAATCTGAAGCATGTTCCCTCAAGCATTTGATTACGTATGTTATTCATTTATCCTGATAACCCTTTTCATAAACTATGCATGTCAACATGAAAAATTACTTTCATTTTCTATTCTCATCTTCATGAGAACTTCATTGATCTTCTATTGTTGTGTTCCTGTTTTGCCATCACAACCCACATTAATGACATGTTCACATTTGTGTTATTCCTGCATCTCAGAATTTTGCAGATCTGGGTCATAGATCCTTTTTCTTCTTTGAAAGCATGTTCAGAATTGCTTTTTTTTTGCAATTTAGGCTTCATTGTAGGAAATTTTTGTTTTGTCCTTCGTTGACATCTCTACAATGCATCAGTTTTTTTTCTGGAAGCTGAATATTCAAAGTTTCAGACACTGTTCTAAAATGTATTTCATTGTGATTATACAGCATTCTATTTTGTACTATAAAGGAATGTCTTTCAGAAAAAAGTCTAATGCTTGATAAATTCTATTGATATCAATATCATAATGTCCAGTTTCATTCAACAAATGTTGTACAATTAGAACAAGGGGATCACTAACGTATTGTTCATGTAACCATTTTAAAATTCCTACTCTGATATGTATTGTCCTATAGGCCACTATATATAATGCTGCACGTGCATTACTCAAACATTCTGCAGGTGGCATCAGCTACTACAGTAGGTATACCATGCACACATTCCATTTTAAGGGAATGGTGATCACTCAATTTACAAGTTGTTACCCTTTTGCACTTGAATACATGATGGTACAGACTGCTGAATGGTTATTAATTGATACTGGAAACAGTTTACAGGAGCTAAGAGTAGAAACAATGACATGTATTTGAATTGGAATGTCTTGACTAATGGTGCTGCATGTGAGTCCTTGCAGAAGGTCCTGGGACCTCAACTGTTCACTGAATTTATTAACGACTAAACCAAATATACACATTTGCCAATGACACCAAGAATTGATGGCACTGTAAATTTTACAGATGGGAGTATAAAATTACAAGAGAACATTGATAAGATTAAGTGTTGTGCAAAGCTGTGGCAGATGGCTTTTAGTACAGGTTAAGTGTGAAGTTATTCAGTTTTACCCAAAATTAGACAGATCCTGACATTTTTTTCTAAAAAGCTGAAACAGTAGAGGTGAAAAAGATTTAAAGGTCTCTGTACATAGATGTCTAACTGTTATTTGTGGCGAAATCATAAAACATCATTTGCACTCTACTTATAGCAAAATGATAAGTGAGAGTACAAAGGATATGTTTAGAACAACAGTAAGAATAACTGTTGCATAAAGTCATGTACAAGAATGGTTCCAGGAATGAGAAACTTCAGTTATGAGGGCAGACTGAAAACACCATGACTGTTCTCCTTGCACAGAAAGTGGTTGAGAGGAGATTTGATGGAAGTTTCCAAAATCATGAGCAGGCAGGATACAGGATTTGAGGAGAAGTTGTATCCACTTTAAAAAAGTAAAACGATGCAAAGGAATAGATTTAAATGCGATGTGGGGGTAGGCAATGGCCTAATGGTATAACTACTTGACTGTTAGTCCAGAGACCCGAGGCAATGTTCTGGGGGACCCAGGTTTAACATTAAAACAGACAGGAATTAAGATGATAATGGTAACCATGAATCCACTGTCTATTGTCCATCTAAACTTATCTGACTCACTAGTGTCCTGTAGGGAAGGAAACTGCCAACCTTATCTGGTCTGGTTTGCACATGACTCCAGACACACAGCGATGTCATTTTCACTCAACTGCCCTCTGGGTAATTGAGGTTGGGCGATAAATGCTGGCCTAACCAGTAACACTCTCATCCTGTGAATGAATAAAACAAAATCAAGGAAAACATAAGGAAAAGCTTTTCACACAGCAAATTATGGTGTGAAAAGCACTGCCTGGAACCGTGGTGAAGTTAGGCTAAATTGAAGTAGAGACACTGAATGATCCTTTGGATTGGAATAATTTATAGTTGATAGAAAGATTGGCACTAGGTAATGTTACCCATGTGAAGAACCAATGTGGGCACAATGGGCCAAATGGCCTCCTTCTGTGACTTAACAATTTTGAAAGGAGCCATAATGTTCAGAATACATTCAGCTCCATTCAATCTGGAAATGGCACACAATCGTTGGGTGAAGATGGTCAGATTCTACACAAAGACCCAATGGAAGCAACTCCCAACAGTCCTTAGTAATTGTGTCCACCACATTAATGAAAACTGTAACTATTGTTATTGCACAATAGATTACCTTACGTAAGACAAATGCTTCTTCTGTATAACCTCAGCAGTGGTCCATCCTCAACCACTGATAATTATACAGGTCCTAAACTCAGCACAGAGAAAAGGCATTTTGACAGCAGGAAACTATTTAAATCAGAATACCACATGCTGGCAAGGGTGGCATCTAAAAATACATCAATAGCAAGTAGAGAAAATGTTCCACCTTTGTACTTACATTACACACAGCAAAACAAAATACAAATATTGGTATCTCTGCACTCCCTGGCCCAGCAATTTATTTCAGGTAATAGTACTTGTTATGCTGTTCAGGTGAACATGTCACAGCAATGACAGAATTTGTGCAAATTCACTTGTTCCTCAATATATGAAGCGATGATGATGAGACTTTCTTCAATGATGTATGACCACTGGAAGTTGTGGTCACCTTTGGTTAACGACATGCTTTGATAGGAATAGCCTGCTCCTCTTCATACATTGTGTTTGTAAGGTTCCTTTCCAGAAAAATCCTAAGTGTGAATGCAACGGATGTGTAAATAACTTGACTATAAATAACAAGTAGAAATCTCTACATGGAATGCTGAATCTTTCTAACCTCCCCCATTCTTAGCTTTTCACCATTAAAAATATAGGCAGGGTCTTGTTTGTCCAAAACAAATGACCTTCACCCTTACCTACATTGAAAATGTCTGCCCACTCACTTAATCTTGTCAATGTCTCTTCGCAATTTGATATTCCCACCTGCACTAACAATATTATTAAATGCTTGATATCATTAACAGATATGTAGATATGGTCCTCCATAGTGCTAACTAAGTTAATAAATGTTAATGAATAGTTGAGGGACCCATAGCAGATCATTGTTTAAGGTCACTCATCAATTCCTTCCAAGTACATACCCATTACTCCCAACTCCCTATTACCATTTTTAGGGCTACTGACAATCAAACACAGATTTCCTTTGAAACAATCATAGTGGAAGTGGGAACCATTGGAGTTCAGGCCCTTCTTCAGCAACAATTAAAACTGTTTGTTGCAATTTCATTAGAAAAGTTTCAACAAGATGTTTCTGACAGGTCTAATTTGGTCTGAACACGGTAAGAATTGATTCTTTTATTGATTAATGTATTCACAATTGTCAATCTGGAAAGCACCAACAGCTGATTCACTCTATTACATTCACAATTCTGTTTGGCTGGCGGAGTAGACTATACTTAAAAATATCAAAAATAGGAATGGGGAAGAGTGCTAATGCACACGATTCCAAGTCACAGAAATCGACTACCCTATCAAAATGAATAATTCAGTGGAATACTGAAAGACTTTTCCAAAACTAAAACGTACTAAAAATGGATAGAGATAAATAAAAGCATAAAATGCAATGCCACTTGTTTTCTCTTCCTGGTTATCTCGTGGGATAATTATGGGCTGCCGAATGTCCGGGCAATTGCGCTTTAAATAACTAATCCGTTGCATTGCAGCACAACATTATATAACATAAACCAAGACCCCATTGAGCTACTGATGCTGAAGCGAGTTAGGGTTAATAGATACACTACTGTCCGGTGTCTGGATCGACTTGGAAATATGAACAATGATCTTGGTTCATGGGTAAATTGCAAGAACGTGGTCCTTCTGGATTGAATATCGCCCCGTGACTGAGCCGGGGGGGGGGGGGGGGGGGGGGGGCGGGGAGGTTGGTGTGCTGCTGGTGCAAAGCACATGACGCAAAGTCAGAAGACCAGAGCAGGGAACAACATTCACTTCGAGCAAGCAGGTGCTCGCAGCTGGGAAATAAGATGGAAATAAAGGTTCTGTTTGACCAGCCGAATAAAAGTATGACTCCATTCGCAATGCAAAAACAAACAAACACTTTTGCTCATCATGTCAACAAAGAAGTTAGCAGCGCATAATGTACAAACAAATATAATTGTCGGTTGATTTTCAATGTAATCTGCAACGTTGCCTGAATAGAAACACAATGAGTGCAGACCTTAAGTAACGCTTGTGTTTATAATATGCTGTTCTCATCTATACTGTTAATCCCGAATGCGCTTCTAGTATTTGAATCTATTACTGTGCGACCAACCTACGATACGTTTATTCAGTATAAGCATCTGAAGCAACGACATTATTAAAACATGTTCTTTCAGACTTACATTGGGTGTACTTCTGTAGCTGGGAGAATTCTGCAGGGCTCAGGGTGACCCACTTCTCCTGGTTAGTCATGCTGGTCTTCACACTCATTTCTTTGGTATCTCAGATCCGCGCCCGAACTGAACTAATCTCTCCGCGTTGGGGTTGCTCCTCTCCAACACGCACCTTAGGCTTCAGAAGATTTCATTTGTTGAGTGGAATAGGGACTGTGACTGCACGGAGTGCTGGCGTAAAGCAGCCTACAGATTGAGCTGCTGCAAAGATCTGGAAATAGACAAAAAGCAAGAGGCAGTGATGCATTTGTTCATCAGACGAGAACTTGTTTCAGCAGTGAGCAATAAACAAGTCTCTCCGGTGACTCTAAATTAAATGCAACATGTACGAAAACTTTTATTTACATGCAACTGTTTCGAGCTTTCTTTGTGCCCATATGACCATACCAATTAGATTTAGCCAGATCCAAACGTCAGTACAGAATTATAACTTGCACATTTCGAATGTAATTTCCAACAAGAGCTATCTTTAGAATCCTGTACCCTGGACGGAAAAGCTTTCTCTGATAAGCCACATTATAAGGGAACGATTTCTAAGAAGAGACAGTTTCTTCATTCCTCAACAGATTTGTCACAAGCTGAGTAAAAACTAAATTTATTACTCATGCATTTATATATTTAGTAACTGTTCTTAAAAACACTTTTAAAAGTCCCCACAAAAATTCGCTGTTACAGTTTTGCTACCGAATTAAGCAGCAATTTCAAGAAACTTCTCAAAAGTCAGTCTGTCAGATAATCAACACTTCATGACCTCCTAATGAGAATGGAATGCTCAACTATTGTGTAATAAACTACGAGAGAGACAATCCTGTCCTGGAGAGAAAAAAAACCTAAACAACTGAATTTCAAATTGAATGCAAAATACCGCAGATGCTGGAAATCTGAAACAAACACAGACGATGCCGGAGAGAGAAACAGTTAACGTTTCCGTATAAGCAGCATTAAAGGAGCGGGAAAGCTTTTGAAAGAAAGGTCCAGACCCGAAACGTCAACTTTCCTGCTCCGCTGATGCTACCCGGCCTGCCGTGTTCATCCAGCTCTACACCTTGTTATTCTCAGACTCCAGCAGCCCACACCCCAACATGCACATGCATATTTTGGTTTCATGTGTGCAACACACCATCAGCCATGCAAAAACCATCACTACAATATTTTGCTTTCATTTCTGTACACAACCTTGTAACGGGCTTGTCTGTTGCAGACTAATAGATGATTGCTGCTATGTAACTATCACTCTGTCATCTGCCCTGTGACTACCAGGATTGTGGAAGTTGAATTAGGTGGACCCTGACCTTTTCATTTAGCAATTCATACTTTCCTATCTTTAACATTTGATTTGTGAAAAACTATAAAACCGCATATCAAAATGAGAGACTTTGCAACAAAATAGGTAGTTGCATGTTACAATTGATGTAATTATGGTAGTGTATTTTTAGCAGTGCCAATTGCCCTTTAAAACTGAATGAATAACTCCCAGGATCCCCATCAGAGTTCTATAGCTAGATTGTTCCAAAGTGCACATGAAACAACAACAAAAGAATAATTGTTGAAATCCTACCCTTTGGAGTTTGCAAAACAAATGTATTTTGCCAATGTATAACATCAAAAAAGATTCTACACAATGGAATTCCAAATTGTATCATCTGTTCATGGCAATACATTCATTCTGTAAATTAATTATGTTTTTCCTCCATAATTCCACACAGTAGTTATATATGAAAATGATGCTTGGAAATGATGTATTTCAGTTTTACTCATGAAAGTGCTGCCAGTATACCTGAAACCAGAGTGCTATAAACAAATTACCTTAAAACTCAGTTTGTCTCATAATTAATTTAACGAAAGGCATACTATCCCATAGAAAGCTGTGCTATTGGAAAAGTAGATAAACATAGAGAATGTAAGCAATTAAGAGTAGGAAATATTTGCAAGTAATTGTTTTACTTGGTCAGGAAGAAAAATTTTAGATAAAGAGATATGGAAACCGGTCAGGAAAATAAAGCTAATGTAGAAGTTTAACCATTTTAATGAATAGCAGAGCAGGCACAAGGCAGCCCTTGGCATTCACAGAATCATTACAGTGTGCAAAGAAGTCATTTGGCCCATTGAGTCTGCACTGACCTTCTGAGGAGCATCCCACCAAGACCCAGATACCCGCCCTATCCCTGTAACACCACATTTTCCATGGCTAATCCACCTAGCCTGCACATCCCTGGACACTACAGGGCAACTTAGCATGGCCCATCCACCTGACCTGCACATCTTTGAACTGTGAGAGGAAACTGGAGACACCTGATGGAAACCCACACAGACATGGGGAGAACAGGCAAATTCCACACAAACAGTCGCCCAAGGAATTGAACCCAGGTCTCTGATGCTGAGGCACTGAGCCACCTCCTACCTCAATTTTTTTTTATATTCTAAGAGTTGGTACAAAAAAAAAGAGTAAAAGAAGATCAGAGCTTCTGGTGGTCCAGCGAAGGTAGGAAATGGTTAAGGAGCAAGTTTAAATCTGACTTTTAGATATATACTATATTTATCACCAGACGATACAACTTTTAATTACCTAGCAGATAATAGGTATAGTTAGAGGTTTTGAATTATTGCGAGGAAATTCTCCCAGGGTACAAAGTCTTAAAATCTTTGAATTTTGTTTGTCTTATTTTTTGCCATGATATAACATCAAAAAAGATTCTACACAATGGAACTCCAAATTGTATCATCTGTTCATGGCAATACATTCATTCTGTAAATTAATTATGTTTTTCCTCCATAATTCCACACAGTAGTTAAGTATGAAAATGATGCTTGGAAATGATGTATTTCAGTCTTACTCATGAAAGTGCTGCCAGTATACCTTTTCGTTGTGGACTCGCATTGCATTGTGAGACCATTATTTGTGTTTTCTTTTGTTTTAAAAATGAATCCTATAATTGGGCTGATTTCTGAGGAATTCCTGTTGAGTACAGGCTGTGTGGTTGATGATTGCTAAAGTATATCTCTGCCACTTGAAACAGGATTTGCATTTATATAGAATTAAAGCACTTCACACAATGCATTATTTTAAAGTGCAGTGCCTGTTAAAATATTTGCAATATCTGTGTAGGAATGTCAGAGAGAAAGAGAAATTGGATTTCATTCATTTGCATTATGATAGTTGTAAATATGATGATCAATTTTAACACCCAGCATTTCATTATTCTATCAGAAACCTTTAATAGTTACAGATGTTGTCGATAAAAGAACAAAATACAAACTTCAAGTGACTGCTGTGATCGTCTGACAGAATGCAGCAAATCTAGAAGACCAATGTGGAATAAACAAGATTTGCACAGAAATTTCCTTTTATATTTAAACCAAACAATTGAATCATGAAGTCATGAAGACCACATATCCTGCTTCCATTCACACGTGTATGATGATTTAATTTAATGGAGGTTGAAAGGCTTGCCTGACAGATAGCCAATTTAGGAAAAAAATGTAGTCAAACATGGGAATATAAAAACAAACTGTATTTCAATAGTGGTATTTGAGCAGTAAAATAGAGAGAAGGAAGAATGAGTTTGTGACAGGTACTGGAAGTCTCTCTTTCTCTCTCTGTCTCACTGTTTCCTCTCATCAGCTTGCAAGAAATTTGGAAAATACCTTCACAAAGAACTCAAAGATATCTACAAACATTGTGGCTGTTGAGGATATCAGTCAGCAATTAAACAATTGTAATCTGATGTTGAAATTTAACACCTCAAGAACTCTAAAAATATGAAAATGGTATAGCATTTATTCAACTTCTGTACAAAACCTGCTCTTCTTTTCAAACTTAATTCTTGTGTTTGTGTATGTTAGATGTCACGTTATAGTATTTTTATCTGAGTTGGTAGATTGAAAAATTCTCTTTCTTTCACTCAACAAAATACTATAATCAATCCTTTCACCTTTATCTAGTTACCTATGTTTATGTCTGTTACAACCAATCAAAAGATGGTTAAGAAGAGAGAGCCACATCACCCATCTTCATCTAGTTGTAAAATAAGCATGTCAAAACAGCAGTCAATGCCATTTCCAAACTGGATCTGTGCTTTTAATTATTGAAGAAAGCTTCCAATAGTGAATTGGAACGTGTTTCAGTGTCTTACTATGAGGCTTGTGGAAAATTCAGCAAAATGTATGGCAGATCAGCTATTGCCAGAGATAGTGGGAACTGCCGATGCTGGAGAATCTGAGATAACAAGGTATAGAGCTGGATGAACACAGCAGGCCAAGCAGCATCAGAGGAGCAGGA